CCCGGGGTGCTGGGATCAAGCCCCATGTCAGGTTCTCTGCTCGACGGGGAGCCTGCTTCCCTCCCCCCGCCTCTCTCTCTGCCTGCTTGTGATCTCTGTCTGCCAAATGAGTGAATAGACTCTTCAAAAAAAAAAAAAAAAAAAAAGAAAGAAAAAGTATGATGATAGGGCATCCGGGTGGCTCAGTTGGTTAAGCATCTGCCTTCGGCTCAGGTCATGATCCCGGGGTCCTGGGATGGAGCCCTGGATCAGACTCTCTGCTCAGCAGGGGGCCTGCTTCTCCCTCTCCCCCTGCCCATGCTCCCTCTCTCACTCGCTCACTCCCTCTCAAATAAATAAAATCTAAAAAAATAAAAATAAAATAAAATGGGATAATAAAAACTACTTGATGGGGCTACTTTTAGGATGAAATGATTCACCATATTGGAAGCACTTAAAAAGTGTGAGGGCACATACCAAGAATTATAGAAGTGTAAGCTATTATTCTGTTTTAAAGTTTTCTATCGTGAACGTGTATTAGAATAACAATAACGTGTTAAAAATAGCCAGCGGCTCCCAATGATTTCTCCATCACTGGGAACCACATACGTAACATAATGCCCTGCTCTTCTATAACAGAAAAGCATGGTCCTGAAGTAACCCTGCCCTCTGGTATGTGTCCTCTCACGCCTTCCAGGTCTTAAGCCCCACTCCCTCCCCTCCTCTCCGTGTTTGTCTGGTCTGTCTTTAATAATCGGCTCTCAGATGAAAAAAAGCCCCAATTTTTAGCACTTGCCAATTTCTGTGGAATAAATACTCTTACCATGGCTGAGGTCAAGCAACCAACATGACATCATGGTACACGCCCCGGGGAGGAGACGGGCAGCACAGGAGAGCGGCACAGATTTTCCCCATCTGGATAGGACAGACACGCCTCAAGGGCATAGGTGATTGATTGCAGTGCAGGAGGGGAAATAATCAGGAAGTGAGAAGTTTTCAGTATTCATTACTTTTGTTTTTAATAGATTTATTGTAAGTTTATGTAATTTCATATTTAATCATATGTCATAAAAGCTGGCTCCTGGAATTTCTAGAAGTTTAACAATTGGCCTTTGGGGGTGTAAGCAAGCTCCAGCAGGCCACTGAGCCCCTACTTTGAAACTTCTCCCTTCCACTCCCTCCTGATCGGAGTCTCCTCGCTTCCCTCCACTGACCCCTGGCCTAAGCACCTTGCAGTGCAAGATTACAGCCTCCACTTGCCTTCCCTTGCCCGGTGAGGTCAGCATTTTTTGAAGAAGAAGATAAGTTCAGCACCTAAGTATGTATTTCTTATCCTTTTCCCTGATTATTTGTGTACAATCCTTTCTCCCAACTCCGAATTAGATCATATTTGTTTCAGCCCAGCGGTTACTGCCTGAGGAAAAGGAGAGGAACTGCGTATTTGAGAATCATTTGAGAACCTGGGGGCTTCTCAAGCTTCAGGTTCTCTGGCCTAATTGAGGCTGTTACTTCATCGACCGTGTCTGCCTCACTCAGGTTTAGGAAATCATTATTGTGTATGTTACAAGTCTGAGCACAGTGAATGCCTAGCACATAGTAAGCACTCAGTAATTAGTTGCCTAGTGAAGCAATCCGACATTTTAGAAGAGAAGTTAAAATTCTCTTAACTAACTTGCAATTACCTAAAAAGGCGGATTCCTTGTCAAGGTAGGTTTTTGGCTTCTTATGTTGCAGTCAAAGAAACAACAATACAGTCTTAAAGTATAATAGTGAGAAAACAGGTTAACAAGTTAGGGTATTCTTTTTGATAAAGGCAGTGGAAGAAATGTCTGACCAGAGGCCAAATATTTGCACAAGCACATAACCACTCAGAGGACAGCCACTGATGCCGTTATTAATTGAAAATGACTGTTTAGAAATTCCGGCTGTCACCTTGGACACTTTGGAGACAGGTAGACCCATACACACGTAAGTATAAATATATATGGCGTGATCATATACTCACTGCGAAACATTTTTAAAAACTCCAAATGTGATGGGGAGAAGCTAATTTCATTAGAGATGATATTTAAGGAGCAAATTGTTTTTCTCCTGCTTACTTTGAAATAGCATCCTAATAGTCTCTCACAGACCTCGACCAAAAAAAAAAAAAAAAAAAAAAAAAGGAAAGAAAAGAAAAGAAAAAGAAAGAGAAGGCTAATGGACTTTATGTTCCCATGGAAATTTTGGATGACATTAAAACAGTCAAAGATAAGCACGTAAGCACTACGGCATAAAACCTATATTTCAGGACCAGAACTGCAAGATCACATCCTTTCTGAAATTAGAGTAGGGATTTCAGATTATCATTTATTCAAATCATTTGCATTCCCTGGGCTCATATCCAGAGGCATAAGTTTCCCGAGAGGCAGTTTCAAGCCTCGCTGAGGCAACCACCCCGGAGACAAGCCACACTTGCAAACTCAAGGGCTGTACGAGTGGGTCTTCCTCTTTTAATTGGTATTTATATTTGCCCCAAGAAAGAAGACTAGTTTCCAGGCAGTCTGTTTAGTGAAGAAAAATCTCCAAATTTTTGGCCTCGTTTAGCCAGCAGTAAGCTTTCTGCTAATCCTCAGTCATAAATAAAAAGCATTGACAAAGACATTAAAGATGGAAACAATAAAATCATCAGGAAGGGCAGGAAAAAGATTGCCGTGATATTCCGTTTCAGATTGCAAAAAAAGGTATTAAAATCCCAACCATACAAAAATAGACTTGCACAATGACTTTTTTTTTTTTTTAAGGGGGGAGTGGATTACTCCTGACTTCCGAAGATGAGTGTCTTAAAGCTTTCATTGATTAGTTGATAAATTTGCTGGTGAATGATTAGTCGATTAGTCAGAAAGGTTTGAATTAGTTACTAGAGCTCTGCCTCCCATGAATAAAATGCGGGAGTGTTCCCTCTCCCACCCTCTGTGACAGATGATATCTGTTTTCTCCTGTGAGTTTGAATTTAAGAGCCACTGAAGCTCGACAACAGTATATTTTGGCTCAAATGAGCTGAAAATTGCATTCAATTTGAATTTCAAAAATGGAGGGGAGGAAGGGGTGGGGGGAGACAAAAACCCTCAACACTCATCAAGTCTCCACACTTTTCAACTACTTCCTGCTGCTTAGTTGCATTCCACCAGGCTGAGGACCTGAAACCAGGATGTGCTACAGGGAGAAAGCATCGCTGGATGCCTGCCCAGTCTGAGTTTAAAAATAAACTTTTAATAGTCAGGATCAAAGCAAACCTCACTTCTACGCACATGCTTAATGCAGAATGCAACCCACCGAAGAAATAGATTTATCTTCTCCAAACTCAAATTGGCTTTTTTTTTTTTTTTTTTCTTATGTACCTTGGAGGTGATCAAGGTGAAGGTGTTTTCCCTGGGAAACTCTAGAAAGGTAAATTTGTTTCTAAATTAAAATTAATTCCTATTCAGCTCACTTAAGACCCTCATTCCTTGTCACTGGGGTTTTTCTCCCTTCACCTGCCTCCCATGACAAAGCAGATGTGTTCTTGAAAAGTTGAGTGAGTGGACATTGATTTTTCAAATCAAATCATATTTTGAATGCTCGAAGAAGAGAGTTGGTTATTTAAAGGAATCTTGTGATAAATTATTTTATAAATCCGAGGTATTTTTAGAGTGCCAATAACTGTCTCTTCACGCAAAGGCACCGTGAGCATGAATTTGAAGCCCATTCCGCTTCCTTAAAGCAGGGCATACCCGCAGTCTACCAGAAGCAGATTTAAGTATCACCAATAATTAAAACTAAACCGACGCCACACAAAACAACAGATGATATCTCAGAATCCTATAACGGAGTGATTTTGGGCCAGAACTCCGTTTTATGATAGTTTGAGCTGAAGGAGCAGAGAGAACACCAAACTCATTTCAATCCACTTCACACATGAAAACATATTCTCCCATTGCCTAAATTATTCTCAATTTGCAAATTAAGCAACTCGGGTGCCATGAAAAAGGTAATTCGACTTCTAAAGTGCCATTTTCCACATTGAAGCAAAAATATGCCGAACGCTGTTCAGAAAATCGGGCTTGCTGCAGCGGGCTCAGTCCTGAGCAGGACCGAGAGGCATCGTGGGCTGCGGGCGAGGACGCACGGATTTCCCGCACCCCTACTCCGCAGCAGCCTCTGCGGCCGGGAAGGGGGTAACAAATGAATAACTGGTATACCTAGGAACAGCTGACCATTTAGGGTGGGGGTCTGTCACCTTCCCCGGGCTGTGGACCCCTTTGAGAGTCAGATAGCAGCAGGGGCTGTTTCCACCTAAAGACCCCTCCACCCTCTGATTCTGTCCGACGTCACCATAATGGGGCTCATAAACATTAGGGGCTGACCTGGGTCTGGTGGACCAATCGAGTAACAGGAGGTGGCCAAGAACAGGAAGATGATTTTCCTTCAAAAACGATGTGAAAAAGGCTTAACTTTAACTTCTAGGAATACTTGTAAAGTACCGGGTATTCAAGTGGTAACAGGAGTCATACCAAGTACCTTCAGTAAGTTCACAGAAGACAGAATTAGGAAGAGAAGGCGTCTTATCTTAAGCACAGGACCCGACATAAAGAAAAATACTGTATTTTGCTTTTGGTGCATCCCCAGAGACTGGAATCAAGAAATAATCTGACCCTGATAGCCAGGCTTAAAGGTCAAAGTAGTAAATCAATAAAAACAGGTTCCTTCCAAAAGGAACCCCACAATCACCATGACACACACTCAGTAAAGTCCCATTTGTCGGAATAGCCGCTAAAACACTCTAAAAGCATGAAAAATTACATTTTTGCATTTTAAAAGACAGAATGAGAGAAACCTGGGAGCCTCTCCATGTGCGTGGCTGACAAGCTACGTGCCAGGACCACCGTGAATCACAGCTATCAAGAGGGCACTTAACCCTATAATGGGCACCACCTGGCATTACATTATATCATTTTCGAAATGAACATTAATATCTCCTACTCTTGTAGGGGACAGCTTACCTTTCAAACTGCAACAATGTTAGCGTAGGATTTTTTCCTTACATCTTCATAATTTAATATTGTTTCATTGATGAGCCAGTAAATTGTCAGCTCTATTCATTTATGTGACGTGAGCAAGGATCCAACCCAAAAAAGGAAAAAAAAAGTGAGGTCAATTTCCTTGGCCGCCGCATTTAATAAAATCTCCCAGGCAATCGAGTTAAGCACACTTTAATAGCTATGGCTTCGCATGCCCTGCCTTTAGCAAGTCTTTGATTTTCCTATATATAGTCTCAGAGCCGTCTTAACACTCCAACTAAGGTCCGGTCCTCATTTCTTATTTTAAGTTTTCTTCTTTCTCAGCTTTATCAGATTTATTAATCTTTAGCTCCTCTCTTATTTATAGGCTCTGGTTAGGGTTTCAATAGCAGTTTCCTTGATAACTCCCATTTATAACTTTTAGAAAAAAAATTCCTACACAGGGACCAACGGATTCTCTACTTATTTCACATCAGACTCAAAATAGATGGATTTCTCCAAATATGAGGGTCCGGTTGGGTATTTCTCTGACCCTCAGAAAAGATAAAAGAGAGCAGGTTGAGAAGCATGAGTGTCCTGATGGGAAAAACATGAAGCTTCTGCTTTAAATAACTCCTCAGCGGGTTTTAGCCAAGCATGCCTTTCAAAATGCACTTCTGTTCAAGACAGAATGTTTATCAGGAGCAATTGTTAGGTGGAGCCCCATGAAGTTATCAACGTTCTACCGATCTTGATGGACACACAAGGAGATTCCATGTGATTCAACGGAACATCTCTCCCATCTTTACCCTCCTCTAAAAGACAACTCTTCAGAGCAACAATGTGGCCCCTTTGGACATCCAGGGAAATTCACGGTGGGCTTGCAGCCCAGGGAAGGGGGAAGGATGAGAGAGAAGGATGTGAGCAACGGAGAACTGGAGGGCCTCGAACAATTTTATTCGGTAGATGCTCCAGTGCAGTTTAATAAGTGAAAGATGTAGAAACTCATTCATCAGGTGGCAGTGGGCCCTTTTCTGTCACGCCCCTTGAGGCATGAATGTGCTAGCTGTAGCCTTTGGGGAGTGAACACTTCAAAGAGATGCCTGAAGATTCTCAAAGGGGCTCTGAATCACGCGCATGAAGACACACCTCACACTCGCAGCTTTTGCCCTTTTCTTTAAAGAACGAAGTTAAAAAGTAAAACGCTTGACAATTAAGCAAGTTGAGGTTTCATTTCCAACTTCACCTTAATACCTCCAGACTACAACAAAGCAACTGGAAGCCAACTCTGATCATTGGCTTTCATGCTGAAGAGGAACAACGTGATTACTGGAAGACAAGGGATAATCTGGAAATAAATTCTTGCAGACAGTGAGAGCCGAAGATCTACTAAGCCCAGAGACCAAGAAGGTTTGCAGTGGAGACTGGAAGTTGGCGGAGTCTAGAATCAGGAAAAAAATAGGTGCTTTTCAAATAAAAGGTGCTTTTCAAATAAAAACAGGAGGACATTTCCAGGACAACCAATAAGCAAGAAACAAGGTAAGATGACTCGAACGTGGGAATTCAACCCTATTTATTTCCTGGGACTGTGAACACAGGAGACCTGTTAAAAAGCTGTAATTTGTGTAAGTCTAAGGAAACATGAGGAGAGAACCCACCCAACAGACACCATAGGGTAAGAAGTCTGAGGGGAACTAATTTAGGGTGTTACTTTTTTTTTTTTTTTTTTTAAGGAAGCTTACAACTCAAGAAGTACAAGCATACCTTGGAGATACCGCCCGTGGGGTCCAGACCACAACCATGAGCAAGAATTGCAAGGAAGCGAGTCAAAGGGATTTTTCATTTTCCCTGAGCATATAAAGGTTACGTTTATACTACATGTCATCTGTTAAGACGTAGCATTATGTCTAAAACACTATGGATATACCCTTTTATAAAAATACCTTATTGCCAAAAAATGCTAACCATCATCTGAGTTTTTAGCAGGTCATAATTTCTTTGTGGTAGAGGGTCTTAGTGTTGATGGCTGCTGACTGGTCAGAGTGGTGGTGGCTGAAGGCTGAGGCGGCTGAGGCAATGGCTTAAAATAAGCTCATGAAGTTTGCCACATCAATTGTCTCTTCTTTTCACAAATGATCTCTCTGTGGCATGTGATGCTGTTTGACAGCGTTTTACCTGCAGTAGAACTTCTTTCAAAATCAGAGTCAATCTTCCCATACCCCTGCCTCTATTTCATCAACTAAGCTTATGAAACATTCTAAACCCTTTCTTGTCCTTTCAAATCTTCATAGTATCTTCAGCACCTTTACCAGGACTAGATTCCATCTCAAGAAACCACCTTCTTTGCTCTGACACAAAAAGCAACTTGTCATCCGTTCAAGTTTTATCATGAGGTTACACGATTCAGTCCCATCTTCAGGCTCCACTTCTAATTCTGGTTCTCTTGCTACTTCTACCATATTTGCAGCTACTTCTTCCAGTGAAGTTTTCAACTCCTCAACGTCCTCCATGGGAGCTGGAATCAACTTCCTCCAAACACTTGTTAATGTGATAGTTTGACCTTTTCCCATATATTACAAATGTTGTAAATGGCATCTAGAATGGTGAATCTGTTCCAATGTTTCCATTTATTTTGCCAGACCAATCAGAGGAATCATTATTTATGGCAGCTGTAGACTTATAAAATCATGAGAGAGAGAGAGCCTGAGTGTGAAGATCGTGTGTGTTGTGGAGGGGGGCACCAGCAGGGGCAGAGGGAGAGGGAGAAAGAGAATCTTAAGCAGGCTACACATTCAGTATGGAGTCCAACATGAGGTTCAATCTCATGACCCTGAGATCATGACCTGAACCAAAATCAGGAGTCATGACCTGAGCCAAAATCAAGAGTCAGAGGCTTAAATGACTGAGGCACCAAAACAACCCATAAAATGTTTTTGTTAAATAGTAAGAGTCAAAAGTCAAAATAACTCCTTTGACCCATGGGCTGCAGAACAGATGTTGTGTTCACAGGCATGAAAACATTAATCTTGTCCATCTCCATCAGAGCTCTTGGGTGACCAGGTGCATAGTCAATACAGAATCATATTGTGAAGGGAATCTTTTTTCCTGAGCAGTAGGGTCACAACAGCACTCTTAAAATATTTAGTAAACCATGTTGTAAGAAGATGCGCCACCATCCAGGCTTTACTGTTCCACTTGGAGAACACAGGCAGAGTAGACTAAGCATAATTCTTAAGAGGTCTAGGATTTGCAGAATGGTGAATGAGCACTGGTTTCAACTTCAAGTCACCAACTGCATGAGCCCCTAACAAGAAAGTCAGCCTGTCCTTTGAACCTATGAAGCCAAGCATTGACTTCTCCTCTCTAGCTATGAAAGTCTTCAATGGCATCTTTTTCTAAGAAAAAGCTGTTTTATTGACATTAAAAATCTGCTGTTTGGCGTAGCCACCATCACATAGTTAGATCTCCTGGATCACTTGCTGCAGTTTCTGAACTGAAATCCAGAGTCAGCACCTGGGGCTTCGCTTTGTCCTTTGATGTTATTGTTATAAGGGCAGCTTCTTTACTTAAACCTCGTGAACCAGCCAGCTTCATACTTCTCTTCTGCAGCCTCCTTACTTCTCCCAGCCTTGGTAGGATTGGAGAGTTAGAGCCTTGCTCTGGACCACGCTCTGGCTTAAGAGAGTTATGTGGCTGGTTTGCTCTTCTATTCAGACCTCTAAAACGTTCTCTGTATCAACAACAGGTGTCTCACTTTCTTATTACTCCTGGGTTCACTGTGAGTAGCACTTTTAATTTCCTTCAGGAAGTTTCTCTTTGCATTACAAGTTGGTTCACTGTTTGGAGCAGGAGGCTTAGCTTCTGGCCTGTCTCAGCTTTTGACAGGATTTCCTCACTAAGCTTAATCATTTGTAGCTTTTGATGTCAAGCGAGAGACATGCGACCCTTCCTTTTACTTGAACACTCAGGGACCATTGTAGGCTTATTAATTGGTCTCATTTCAATATTGCTGTTTCTCAGGGAGGCCAGAGGGGAGAGAGAGAAGGACAATGGCCAGTTGGTGGAGCCGTCAGAGCACACACAACATTATCCATTAAGTTCATTGTCTTCTATGAGGGCAGTCTGTGGCCCCCCAAAATAATTACAATAGTAACATCAAAGATCACTGATCACCAATCACCAAAACGAATATAATAATAACAAAAATATTTGAAATATTGGGAAAATTAGCTAAATGTGACATGGAGTAAATGAGGGGAAAAATGACACCAGTAGACTTGCTTGAAGCAGGGGGGCCAGAAATCTTCAATCTGTAAAAAACACAGTATCTGAAAGTGCCATAAAGCAAAATGCAATAAAATGAGGTAGATCTTGGGGTGCCTGGGTGGCTCAGTCATTAAGCCTCTGCCTTTAGCTCAGCTCATGATCCCAGGGTCCAGGGATCAAGCCCTGCTTCGGGCTCTCTGTTCACCGGGAAGCCTGCTTCTCCCTCTCCCACTCCCCCTGTTTGTATTCCCTCTCTTGCTGTCTCTCTTTCTCTCTGTGTCAAATAAATAAACAAAATCTTTTTTTTTTTTTTTTTAAATGAGGTATATCTTATAAAAGAAGGATTCAGAGGATCAAAAATCCTTCAGGTGCTGATTTCATCACACAAGAAGTTGCTATCTGTGTGATGTTGCCAATGGCCATGATCAACATGGCTGTGAGTTCACATTAACATTTGAAATATACAAGCTGTCAAAGCCCACCACTGAAATTAATGAAAATTGAAAATAATGTTCACATGATGACAACAGTTTTTGGAATAAGTTCTCCTTTCGATCCCACACATCGAGCTTGTGTCTGCAGAGGCATTCCACTCGGGATCATGTTATTTGGGGGCTCCCCTACACATGGGAGGCAGCCCACATCAGCCACCAGCAACATCCTGCTCTCAGAATCTTGGTGAGGAAGCAGTACCACCTTAGTTACTCAACTCCCTTTCAGTCATGTGCAAGGTGTTCAGGAATTGCTGCAAGGAGAGAAAGAATAGTACTTCTAGAATTCCTGAAAAAATGTGTCGTCTTTTGGAACCAAAGGTACATGAACTGGTTGT